GTGTGGGCAGTTTAGGGGTGCATAATCAACAGTTGTTTAGAACTACTGCCTTATTTTCTTGATTATGGGAGAGTTCCATATTTCTTGTGTTTGAATTGAAACTAATGTAGAAATTAAATATGTTTTCTTATCTCTCAAATGATGTTCTTACATGAGTTTAACTATTTGTACTATCTTTGAATCTTGGAAATGTGGTATGTAAAATTTTCCTCCATATAGTTTTTTACCAGAAATTATTTTTTTTGCCCTGTGAGAAAGAAGATTTTTTTCCACGGTCTAAAATCCTATTTAGAGATGGTCGTGTTTATTAGAGTTCTCCAGAAGTTTCATTTTCTTCCTTTCAATTCAAATTTATTTAAGTATCTGCCTCTTTGCCCTTGCACATCCACTCCAAAAAGTCACAAAAGCAGAGACATATATACCTGAAAACTCTCAGGGTCCTTCTTTCTCCCACTCCCATGTGGGGACTCTGCTATGGAGGAGCTCAGTAGCCAGGCCCTCTAGTCAAAACTATGTACGAAGTGTGCATTTCCTGCTCCAGATAATTCATGTGCTCAGTGGCTCAAATTTCCCTAAAATGATTTTTCCCATGAAAAACTGACTAAATCTAAGGTACTTGCTAGATACTGTTAATGGAAAAGTATATCCATATTTTCTCAGATCTGGACACAAACCTGCTAGTAGAAAAGGCAGCCCCCTTCTTCCTCTGGAGAATGGGTCTGAGAGAGATGCTGAGACTCTTATATCTACTTCCACTCCTGTGCCAGCAGGACCCTAGAGGAAATAGCTGCCTTCCTCTTGAGGCCTCAAAACAAACAATTAAAATTAATTATTGTTTTCTGGGATAATTCTGGTTTCTGGGAAACCCTCAAGGACAATACAGCGGCAGCTTTGAAAACATTTTATATAAAAGTTATTTAAATGACTTCTCCCTCCTCCATGATCATTCCCATAGTCTCCAAAAATTTTGCCTAACAAGTAATAGCAAAAGTTATCTTTATTTAGTCAATAAATATTTATTTTGTAGCACGTTGTTT